ATTACCCATATCTATAATTGAATCCACCATCTTTAATTTCTTGCATTTTCTTTTATTCTAGAATTTTGTTCTTCATTCTTGATTTTTTATTTGTTTCTTGATTTTATTCATTTTTCCTTCTCACCTTATTGATCATACTCAAATCCACTCTCACTTACACTTTGCACCTATTTACACACCATTTTCACTCTCTCAATCTCTTCACAATCACATTCACTTATCACTCCTACTTGTCACGCACACAACATAAGAACCGATTTCATATTTTCTCCTACAAAACACCTTCCTCGTGGGATCGATATCTTAAATACTATAACTTGACACGGTTGTGCACTTGCAACCTTTTTGGTACATGTTTATGCCGCATCAAGTTTTTGGCGCGTCGATGTTTTCTGGGCTGGGCTTCGATTTTTTAACCCGATTCGTTTTCTAAGTTATATATATCCCTAAACCTGATTTGTTAGGGTGAACTCAAGGACGATTTTAAACAGCATTGAAGAGAGAATTGTTGCATCCAATTGTGAGAGAGTTGTGAGAGATCTAGAGCTTTGTTTTAGGGTTTGATCGGTGAGATTTGTAACTCTATTTGTATTCTCTTGATTTCTTATAGTAAGAACCCCCCCTCCTTGCCCCGTGGACGTAGGCAACTTGCCGAACCACGTAAATCTCTTGTGTTATTTGGTGATTGTGCTTGTTTATTTGGTTGTGATCTCTCTTGTTCGGATTGTGCGATTCGACCGCTTCTGCGCCGCGCATAACAATTGGTATCAGAGCTTCGGGTTTGACTTGAGGCTTGTTTGAAGGATTCGCTGAAGGATTCCTATTTGAAGAGTTAGATCGACAACATGGGTAAAGCAAGCACATCGGGATCGTCTCTTACGAAGACGATACATAGTTTGAGCATCAATAACATGAAGATCGATGTTCCGAAGTTTGATGGTAAGATCAATTTCAGTTTGTGGAGGTGCCAGGTGATGGATTCGTTGGACGCTCAAAACTTGGAAGAGACTCTTGAGTTACAAGAGAAACCTACCGAGATGGAAGCTAAGGTTTGAAAGAAGATGAATAGTAGGGCGTGTGGAGTTATTCGGTCATGCTTGACGCCGGATCTTATTTATGATGTGAGGAACGAGACGTCGGCGAAGAAGATGTGGGAAACACTCAATGAAAAGTATCTTACTAAGAGCATTAAGAATCGGCTTCACTTGAAGAAGAGATTTTACCAGTTCAAGATGAAGAGAGGGGTTTCCATCAGGGAGCATGTCAACAATTTCACGAAGCTACTTTCAGACATGGCCAATGTGGATATTATGGTTGAGGATGAAGACAAGACGATGCTACTTTTGTGTTCGTTGTCCGAGGATGATTATGGTACCTTTGTTCTCACTATGATTAATGGAAGAACTACTGTTAGCTATAAGGAGGTGACCTCAGCGTTGGTGAATTATGAGTTGAGGAAGAGTGTTGATGAGTCCTCCGAGAAGGCATCGGGAGATGCATTAGTAGTTCATGGCTATGGTTCAAACCGAAGCAGGAGGTCGCAGTCTAGAGGTACACATCGTGGGATTCGTAGGAATCAGTGTGCCTTTTGTAAAGAGGATGGGCATTGGAAAGCCGAATGCCCAAAGTTAGATCGAGCCGAGAAGAATAAGGGGAAAGCTGTACAAGCTTTAGAGGTGAATATTATCAAGACTAGTGGCAACAATTTAGATTCGGATTCTTCGGGCTATTCATTGTCTGCACTTCCGTCAGTTTGTGTTGCCAACTCTACAGAGTGGATGTTGGATTCGGGTGCTTCATACCACGTTTGCCCTAGGAGGGATTAGTTCTCCAGCTTTTAGAAGTTGGAAAGAGAGGATATTGTGCTCATGAGTAATGGACATGCATGCTCTATTGGTGGTATTGGTACCATTCGTATTCGGATGTATGACGGAGTGATTCAGGAGTTAGAAGGAGTGAGGTTCGTTCCGCAGTTATCGAAGAACATCATTTCACTAGGAGCTTTAGTGGCATCTGGCTATAAAGTGACCTTGGTGGATACACGTTTGAAGGTCACATTGGGGTCCATGATTGTGATGAAGGACGCCAGAAGGAGTAATTTGTATTATTTGCTCGGAAGCACGACGATTGATAGGGAGATGACAGCTTCATCAGATTTGGCTAGACTGTGGCGTTGTTTGATGCTGGGTTATTTGATTGGTAATACCGTGCATAGGTTATTGAGGAGTGTTTTGACCTGCAGTTTGAAGTCCTGTGAACCCATTGGTATGAGCGAGAAGACCGAGGTGGAGTTTGGCACTTCTATCCATCATTCGAGGGGTTTTCTGAGGGGTGTTCATTCAGGCATTCGGGAGCCTTCCAAGGGAGCATTATTAGGAGGTAATAGGTATATGGTTTCCGCAGTTGGTGATTACTCTAGGCATTGGTGGGTTGCAACCAAGTCCCGTTGGTATGAAGTCCTAGAAGCCTGCAACAGATGGAGGAAGTGTGTTGGTAGAAAGGTAACCCGACGTTCTGATTATGGTAGGGATTCTTTCTTGCATTTGTGCTGAGCTCACGGCAATAGGAGACACTTCATTGGTGTGGAAACTTTGAGGCGACAAGGCGAGATGGCAGATTTGGGCAGTTGTTCCTTTCTGGAGGAGGATCGGTGTTTGATGTCAAGCATTGGCATTAGTGTGCAGGCTACGACATGTTTGGGCCGTCTTATGTATAGGTTGCCGACTGCTGCATGTAGAGATATGGGATCTGGTGGAGCTGCTTCAGATTTTGGGTTGCGTCGGATATTTGGCTACCCAGCACCTGGTCACATCGTGGATGTGAGATTTGATCCGATAGCACATTTGGGATTCAGAGGCGTGGTTGATTATCAGGTATTGGCTTCTGATTTTGTTCTTGGAGAGTGGTGATCAGATCTTTAGGACATCGCAGCGGGTGGAGAGTGATGCTACTCCACGTTAGGTGGAAACTCCAGATCATACTGCATCATTTGGGATTCCAGCTGATGTGACACAGATTGAGAATCATGTTGATTTGGATGCAGATGATAGGTTGATTGATTTGAGTATAACTGATAGATGTAGTCTGGATATGGCCATTGGTTCATATCAGGTGGAGATGTTTGGATTAGTTCAGTTTGAGGCCATTGGAGGTGCTATCAGCCACAGACTTGATCGTGATGTTGGAGAAGGGTTGCGAACTCTTCTAGTGGATGTTTGTGGTGAAAATAGATTGTTTCATTGCGGGATTCATTACAAACTTCAGACGTTTACAACGAATACAAAAATCAGTCTTTTTATAAGACTTTTACACAATGAAAACAAAAAAAAAAAATTACAATTCTCTTCAAACAAACGCAACGAGTATTTATCGCCCGCTGCTTGTGTGGGATCTTGGCCTGTGACGGGGACGCGTTAGTCCGTGGACCACCGAACGATCAATATTTGGACAGAAATTCGTCTATCCGTGAAGGGATCGAGAAACCGTAGCTCTTATCTCGGCGAAGCGAGATAATCACTCTTCTTAAGATTACCGCAACGGGATAATCCTAAGGAACGAACCGGGCTGCAGATCTAACTCCTCATCCTCTCTGAAATCTGTGCACTTTAAGTCTTCAATCCGGCAGGGTTTCGCCGAGGCACGAGAATTCCAGATCTAAAAAAAAGGCTCCAGGGGCTGTATTTATAGGCTTCAAGGAGATCCGGGCGGTTAAAACCGTAAAACAACCAAATCTGACTTTTTTAGGGCTGGAGACACCCTTGGGTGTCTCAACTTGGGCCGAGACACCTCGGGGTGTCTCAACTCATGCTGAGACGCTTTGTTATGTGTACTTGTTCGTTTCTGCCGTAACTTCTTCGTACGAACTCGAATTTGAGTGATTCAAAGTGCGTTGGAAAGCCGGAGAGGAGATCTACAAGCTCCGATGATTGGATCATTGTGGAGTCAACTGGGACACGAGGGGCGTTGCGCCTTTTGTAAGCGACGCGGGGCTCCCGATCAATTCGTATCCTCGTTATTCTGAAACTCCGTTGCTTCACATAGTTCGCCGATTCACTTCAAGCGTTCGTCGACGTCAATCAAGTTTCTGTGACTTGGATAGTAACGTTCATCGTCTTCTCTTAGCTTTGAACTATTCGTGGAGACCTATAGGTAATTTTCGATGCCTACAGTGGATTGAGGCTTTTGGAGGCCATTTGGGTGAACTACGTTCGGCTTGATTCCTTGGGCAAGAGGATACGTAGACAGTCTTTCAGATGCAGCCGGTTTGATCAGTTGATTCAGATGGGGGGAGATCGCGTTTCAGATCTAGATTGGTTTCCTGACTTGTTGAGGGACTATTGGATGATTTGGTGTCGGCTCAGTTTTGGTGGAGAACCCATTCGTCGAGGTGGAGAATTGAAAGAAATTACAAGAAACAGGAAGGAACCAGCCAGACAGACGCTGGCGGTTGACCGTTCGTGTCGACCCAACGGCACGCAGGCCTACTGGTTCGGAGATGAAGGCGATCGACTGTCGGCGGTCGACCGTGGATGACTGTAATGGATTTATGCTCTCAGGTTTGTGGTTCGGTCGACCGCCGCGGTCTGACTGCGAGACCTGCGGCGGTCACCGCGCGGTCGACCGTCGATGTTTTCTGGCTGGGCTTCGATTTTTTAACCAGACCGATTCATTTCTAAGTTATATATATCCCTAATACCTGATTTGTTAGGGCGTGAACTTAAGGACGATTTTGAGCAGCCTTGAAGAGAGAATTGTTGCATCCAATTGTGGGAGAGTTGTGAGAGATCTAGAGCTTTGTTTTAGGGTTTGATCGGTGAGATTTGTAACTCTATTTGTATTCTCTTGATTTCCTTATAGTAAGAACTCCCCTCTCCTTACCCCGTGGACGTAGGCAACTTGCCGAACTACGTAAATCTCTTGTGTTATTTGGTGATTGTGCTTGTTTATTTGGTTGTGATATCTCTTGTTCGGATTGTGTGATTCGACCGCTTCCGCGCCGCGCACAACATTGTGTCATAGCCTTTGTTGCTAGATGATGGTCGATTGCTTTGTGGATCGTCTGTAGAGAGCTGGAATGCTTGGGGAGCATGGATGGAGGTAAAAATGGAATAGAAATGATTTGCTTAGCTAATAATCAAGAGGTTGAAATTTTTGCTGTGATTTCTGCTTAGGTCACTGCAGATGCTGGCTACTCGTGGCACAAATATGGACCGATACACATCAAAAATGAAACTCTTGGTGTGATTCAACCGGTTCCATATCAAACAGCGAAAGGAAATTTGCGTGCGCTACTGAGACCATCCACACCAATAGGCAAGGTTTGCATGTCGGAATCAGTTGATGGAGTTAACTGGAGCTTTGCGAAGCCTACCGAACTTCCCAACCCAAATTCAGGTTCTTGTACCTAATGTCTTGCACTAACATGCATAGACATGCACAAATTGGAGTTTAATCCTTGAGTTTCAAAATTAAGGACAGAAGACCCAAATTAAATGTAATATCCAAAATGGCATAGTCCCACATCTGTTGAGTGTGGGAATATAGATGGGTTTATATAGTTATTCAAGTGACAACCAACTAGCACTTTTGCAGTGGATTGAGCCAAACAACATGTTGCACTCCGTGAACCCAGGACCCGTAGCGTGAAAAATGGTATCAGAGAAATTAACTAGAAGGAAGTGTGGAGCTAAGTGCTACATTCTAAGAGTGGTAAGAGACACCTCCAGAGTCCAGAATCCATGCGACCTACCTCTAGATACATGTCTAGTAATATTGGTATGGATGAGGACATTGTGTATATTTAAGAGTGGGTCATTGTGATACCCCAAAATGGTATAGGTCCGTATCTTGTGGAAGATAGATAGGTTATATGGTTAGTCAAGGGAGTCAATTAGCAAATATAGCTAGCACTTTCTGCGACGGATTGAGTCAAAAAACGTGTTACACTCGGTGCGTCTTGGGACATGCATCGTGCCAATGGGGCTCACCGGTGCTGGGCATGACATTAAAACAAATACAATATCCACTCTACTTAAATTAAATTACATGAGAAATACCCTATGTCATTAAGATTTATTGCACAAGATAAGCAACTGAAAAGCCATGACCATCATTTACTTATGTTATCAGCAACCTCATTAAACACCTGATTTCGTGCACCTGTTTTCTTCAAGATAATTAACTTCCCTTGCTTGTTAAAAATTTAAGGCATTGATGGAGTGAAGCTGAAAGATGGACGGCTCATATTAGTATATAACACTGTTTCCAGGGGAGTGCTGAAAGTCGCTTCCTCGTGTGATGATGGTGATTCTTGTGAGGAACTGATAACATTGGAAGAGAATATGGACAAGGAATTTTCATATCCAGCTGTGATCCAGAGCTCAGACGATCTTCTTCATGTTACCTACACCTACAACCGAACACAGATCAAGGTATTCATAAAAAAGGAAAAGCTTTTTTTGCTCCAATTGCACTATATACACAACCTTAGGTTCCTAAATAATTATTTTCTGATTTATTTGCAGCATATCATTCTGCAGCCTAGCAATGTGGACTGTGATTGAGATCTTCATCTGTACCGCGGATTAAAGTTGCAAATGTATTCTATGGATATTTCAGGTGTATAGTAATAGTTACCTTTTCCAATAAATTTGAAAGTTTACAACATGCACCACACTGTTATAGTTCACGTCAGCAACTCTTAGTTGCGCATTCAATGAACAATTCCGGTTGATTTCATAGAAGTCTTCTCTATGCATCACAAGCAGAGATCCTTTCAAGATGAATCGATTTCCAGCGAAGTCTTTAAAAACTTCGCGTGTTATAGTCTCGAAATACTAATGTATGTTGTGGTAGCTTCTCATAACTTCTTATGCTCCCTTTCAGAGTGAAAAGTTTATTCCCATTGATGATGATTATATACTTCCTCTAAGCTTAGTATGGTCCTCTGGGTATCTGTTTCATCTGCAGCGGAGATTGACAGTAACCATATTAAGCTAATAGCTAAA